TCCGTGATCTATCGCGGAAACTCGTGTTGCGTTAAAAGGCCCGTTAATTGACGAACATAGTCGTCGAAGACGCAGCAATTAGTAGGAAAAATGTCGGGTACAGTCGCAACGATAACGCGAACGAAGGAACACGCGGCAAAGCGGCTCGTACAGTTCGTGGTTGCCTGTTTTCAGGTCTAGTTATTTTTTTTCGAGATGAGAGCTCATTCGTCGAGAGACCTAATTATAGCTTACCGATTCCGCGGCCGGTGTCGCGGTCTACGAATTATTAGCCCTTTCGCCGGCAAGGCTGAGTATACTTAGGGGTTGAAAAACGTGTCTACAGTGCCGCGCCCAAGGATGCTTGTATGCGTAGCGAGCGTTTAAAAAAGCTTTCAGCAGCTTGGGGTTCCGAGTGTTTTACCGCGTCTATCAGGCAGATGATTAAGCAAAAAAAAAAAGAAAAATACATTCGCTCGTTGAAATAAGTATTTCGCGTACGAATCCGCGCGGATTGATCTTAAAACGAAGCGTATCTGGGGTAGTCTTTGAATTTTTTAAAAGAACGTGCTATTTTAGAACGCCCACGATTTTGGCAATCGTATACCTTAAAAAGCAACCTTTTGTCAAATTTCCTTTCGTCAAATGACCTTACGTCAAATTTCTATATATATATATAATGGATTATTATAACTTTATCTTGTATTAAAATATTAAAATACAAAATATTGACGTGATCGTTGATTTTAGTTTAACCCTTTGACTAACTTTAACCCTTTCGTAATATGTAGTGTGTTTCTCTTTCATACAGCATCTAAAATTATAATGTATAATTTAGTTGTGTGAGAGAAACATTTTCAATGTTTGAAAAATCCTCGTCTGCTGGAGGTTTGAACATCGATCAATATAATTCCGACGAAGGCATCACGAACACATCTGTATTTGTGCACCGAGTTAAGGGCGAAGCTAAAAGAATTTTTGCGGGGGATAGATTTCAGATGGAAACGATGATCTATCGGTACCAGGAGCCACCATTCCCGTGCTTGAAAACTCTGTCCCAAGCTCTGCCATGCACAGATTATTACAGGTCTTATTGATTGTACCCCGAGACGAAGTTATTTCTGATATTCCGTTCCCACGATCAATTTGACACCGATCGGGCTCTGGCTTGGTTCCATTTTGTCTACGAACTCAACTTTAAGGACACAGATTGTTTCTGACATGTATACACCGGCATCCTTTATTAATCATCCCTTGTCACGTTAGAGTACGTAATGGTATGTACCGGAAAGTACGTACTCCAGAAATTCCGGAAACATATTTTTCCAGAGCGTCAGAATTAATGTCGTCAAATGCAGATCTTAATAAATGTTTTTCTATTATTATACACCGTCGTCCTTTATTAATCATCCCTTGTCACGTTAGAGTACATAATGGTATGTACCAGAAAATATGTACTCCAGAAATTCCGGAAACATACTTTTCCAGAGCGCCAGAATTAATGTCGTGAAATGCAGATCTTAATAAATGTTTTTCTATTATTATACGCCATCATCCTTTATTAATCATCCCTTGTCACGCTAGAGTACGTAATGGTATGTACCAGAAAGTATGTACTCCAGAAATACCGGAAACATATTTTTCCAGAGCGCCAGAATTAATGTCGTCAAATGCAGATCTTAATAAATGTTTTTCTATTCCTGCATATTTTTTGCAGAAATTGTCGTTAATACTTTTCAAGCATTCTCGTTAATGACGTCTTGTAACGCGTGAACTTGGTGTTGCTAGAACATTCATGAAGGAACAGAAATGTTTAGGAGGCTCTCCTGCTTCTGCATAATGCGGGGAAATGTTATTTACAATTATAAATGAAAATAACAAGTGATTCGTGCCGCGGTAATCGTAAGGTACAATGTGAAATGCGGCATGAATCATCTGCGCCGGGAAATAGAAAATAGCCTCGTTACATATAGGCGGCAGAATGCTCAAACTGCTGGGCAATGTGACCGACGGAAGAAGCTAATTTTTGCGAGTGCAGTGCCTCTCATGATGAAATCTTGAAGCTCCGTTTAAGGGCCCGTACTGCGCCAATAAGCATACTTGCAAAATGCTGAAATTATTAGCCGAGATCAACTGTTGGTAATTTTGTCCAACAGCTTCGGCGTGTTGAGATTACGTGCGTAGATGAGGAAATAAGCACAGACAAGGTATAGGAGTAGATTTAGCCACAAACCACCGACTTAGGTAGGATTAGGACCTAGAACTTATGGCGTTAGGATCAGAACGCAGAATGAATGTAATTGATTCTGACAATACCAGGTTCTTGAATAAATTTTTGTCATTGACTACAGTACCAAGAAAATATTTAATAACGTTCTCTTGCTGCAACGTGAATGGAAAGTCCATCCTTTCATGAATTCATATTAGAAAACTAGATTATGTTTAATTACGTTTAATTTTTGCGCAAAAGAATTATTTATATATACATAACTGAAAAGAAGGTTGATAGAAGATTACGGAAAGAAAATAATTCACGACTTCATCTTCGTTTCAATTTTCACTAATTTTTTTGACACTGATTAACATACACGACTCAATTAATAAGTAAATCTGTCAAATATTAATTTATTTTTAAAAATTTTAGTATAAACGTGTATATTTATGTAACAAATAATATAAAACAACAAATATAAATACATACTTATCTAAATACATACATGTATTGTACAGAGTATTGCTCCTGTTGGAGGTTTCTTAGATTGTTATACTATTCGCAAACAGCACTGTATGAGTAATGTATATTACTTTCATTTAACAACGTCTAAGGTATACTATTTCAGTTTAGAAGACATGAAAAATTAATTAATAAATTATGAAATTAGCTACCAAATCATAAAATAATTTCTTATAATCTCTTTTATTCTTGTGATAATAAAATAATTAAAAAATAAGTATTTTTAACTTTTATCATATTATGCTTTGTATCACAAAGTTTTCATTTAATTCTTTCATTTTTTTTCTTTTGCATAGCAATCTCATGTTGATATTTTTCTGTATTGCATTTATAGGCTTTTTCATTTTCCGTTATTCAATTCTGTTGAGGAATTTTCGAATGTACTAAATCCCATGTTATAAGAGTTTTATTTGATTTGGTACATAAATCCATTGTAACAGGGCTTCCTTTTGCGGCTCGTAATGCTCCTAAACATGTACCAGCTGCCATATTATATATATTCTGTACACAGATAATTTAATTGTATTAATTCATGTATATATCCTGAAGAAAAAATAATAATTACTTACATCACTTTTGTGCCGCCATTCTTGATTACCACCCATTTCATGACATTTTCCAAGTTTCGGTATTTTCTCTGCTCCTTCCATGCACAGCATTTGACCGAGGACTAATTCATTTTTGTCTGTTTCATACCACATCTGCACAGGTTATAATGTATTAATGTTAATAATAAAAGACATTAAAGTTTCTTGTAAAAGAAACGTACTATTAATAAATTACAATAATCTTGCTTTTTTTTGTTATTTTCCTATTTTGTAGAAATATTTGTCTTTCTAATTACCTGTGATTTAACTCTTAAGCATGTTGATAATATCAGCTTAGAACCTTTGGTTTTGACATCCTTTTCGCTCTGAACACACAATGCTGTATTAGACAGTCTAATTTGATATTCATCGGTGTAATTTCTTTTCCTAGAGTGCCAAGGTTGAATTGGCCTCTGCTCTAATTTTGCCCATTTCTCTTTCAACTTATTTTTGCTATCGGTTGGTAATGTCAATTCAGGATATACTTCTTTTAGGTACCACGAAAAGTTTTTGCAATTTAATTCTTTGCGTAGTTTCAATCTATCCGTAACATCACCGTAATCTACTTTTTTAGCATTTCTTAAAAAATAATCTTTATATTCGTCTAGCCAAACATATGCTACACGCAATGAATTCTTCAACATGGTGTCATGTCTATCATTTCCACCATATGGTCTACGTCTTCTGAATACATGTCCAACCCTTGAACAGGGAATGAGTTCAATGCTTCCACCGCACATCCAAATCTGAAGAAACAGTACAAATTATTATCAAATTGAAGTTGACGCAAAATCAAATAAAGCATTATCTTACTCTGAATGATATTTCTAGATTTTCACCACCCCAGATATCCATACCGGCATCGTATTCTCCTAATTTTATAAAATATTCCCTATCTATTGCAAACAATCCTCCAGCCATTGTTGGCGATCTATTTAGTAGAAATTACCATGAATATGATTAAAAGATTGTTAAAATAAATATATATACCTAAATACATAATCTTACCTTATAGGTTTCACAAAATCTTCATCATGTTCTAAAGTACCAACCGGTAAATTATCCCATTTAAAATGCAAACCCCAGTTAAATCCACCTCTTACCAAGGGACTACTAGTGTATTGAAATGTATCGGGATTGATAATATCAATTACTGGCATTGCTACGATAGTTTTTGAAAAAGCAATTCGTGAAAGTAGTGGTTCTATCCACATTGCATTTACTTCTATGTGACTGTCTAAGAAGATTAAAACTTCTCCAGTTGCTTTCCTCGCACCAAACATTCTTGCTCTTATTAATCCTTCACGTCTTTCAGTCTTAAAATATTTTACTTTATTATTGAAATTGTTATCGACGTATGCTTTAGTTTTTTCGTGTAGACCATTGTCATCACTCCAATCATTTACTAAAATAATTTCATATAAAAGATCATCAGGAGTCCTTTGTATAATGGAATGTAAAGATCTCACAAGTGTCATGTAATGTTCATTATAAAAACATATAACAATGCTGGCAGATGGTAAATTGCTGGGATATTGTTGTGTTTGACACAATTTATGCCTTGTATCGGGCAATACTCTATGCGTCCCAATGTTATCCGATACCAAAACGTTAAAAGCATAATTCTTATAACCTTCATCTCGTTTCTTCTGATCATCATAATTTCGTACAATTCCTAGCTCATCCAAACCTATAAATAGAAAGAAAGATATAAAAACTCATTTTCCTTAATAATTAAAATATTATATTAACACAATACCATCTCCTAAAGTAACCGCAGGTTTTATCGGCACAGGTTGCAAATGTTGTATAAGATTTTTACTGTTCTTATAACTAGATCCCTTCAATTTATAACTACCTTTCTGTACCGATACTTCTTTTCCATCATGAACTATTAGATTATCATATAATGTTAGTGCACGATCGCTGTAGACATTGTGATCAAATGTAGGTTCTTTAAATAATTTCAAATTCTTTGACACTGGTACTGTTGAATTAAAGAGGTTACTGTATTGAGATAATCTTGAATAAAGGTACAAACTGAAAGTCCATGTCAAGGAGGCTATTATTACTCCAGATAAGAAAGAAAAGTACCTCGTTGACATCATCTATGAATTGTTTAAAAAAATAAACAAACAAGTTAGCAACAATGGAAAAAGTTACTAACATTAGCTTCGTTAAAAGTAAAACATAATACACTCACTATTAAAATATGTTTGATTGGTAATTTAGATTCAAATCATTATTATTTGGATAAAATATGTTCTCGTTTTATAGAAAAAATTACACACAGGTGACTGTCACAAATGTGCGTCACCATCTTGAAATTTCCCATAACAGCTGTTTCGTACGTTTTCTACCTTTTTGAGGTATTTGCAACCATGTGCTATTATTGCAAGTTATATATGCATTGTCGAAAATACATTTCCGTCGGAATTATTTTTATAATATAATTTGTAAATGTTTTTTAGCTTGAGCAGAACTATTTCAAGAAAGAAACAACTTTTAACACCCGCCCCTGTGGCCTAATGGATAAGGCATCGGTCTCCTAAACCGGGGATTGTGGGTTCGAGTCCCACCAGGGGTAATTCATGCAATATTTTTTTTCCTGTGAATAAAAAATAATTTCCTTCTAAGTTATTCTTTGAACCGTATATAAATAGCAAAATTTGATTGATTGGATGTAAAAAATTCACACTGCGTTTAACGTAATATAATTTATTTCAAAATGATATTGGAACATTTTTTTTACAAGTATCATTTTAATTGTAGAAATTTGATAATTTGAAATTTAGATAACTAGCATAATTCTTTTTTTTTATTATTTTTATAAACATTTTTCATTTTTCTGCTGAGTAATGCGCAATGTATCGTGCAGATGGATCATTAATTCCCTTTACCCAACGAGGCATCCAAAAATATGGTGTAAAACTTTCAGCTTGCCCTTCATAATATTTTTCAAAGATATTTCTAAAAAAAAAACCAAAAAATACAGTTTATTAATCTTATAGTAATATAGAAAATGTTTTGAAAGGATATTGTAATACCTGTAATAAAGTGCTTCTTTTGTTTTCGGAGTACAATGAGAGTATTTCAAATGAGCTGCCTTTAAATCTTCATCTGTTACACGATCTTTTATTATTTCATGTATAATTTGGAAAAGAGATTTTTTAATTGACGTCACGCCATCGCTGAATGCTTCTTTATGTCTCCACAGTATGTTTGATGGTAATAAATTAGTGTTATCGAATGCAGATCTTAATAAATGTTTCTCTATTCCTCCTGCAGCATATTTATTGTAGAAATTGACGTTAATACTTTTCATGCATTTTCACAAACTTTACCTTGAGGTTGTCTGGTTGCAGAATCCAGTGATAGATAATAATTTGTAAATTGAAGATCTAAAAACGGAACTCGCAATTCCAAACTGTAGGCACTAGTTGTTCTATCTGCTCTTAAACCATCATATAAGTAAATATCTTTAAGTAATCGAAGAGATTCATTATGAGCTTCTAATTCATTGGGTGCATCTCTGAAGTAAATATATCCTTGTGCCAATTCATCTGCACCTTCCCCGCTGAATATTACTGTTGATTGTGTATTATGCTTAATATATTTCGAGATAAGATACATCCTGAAATTTAAGATATTGTTAAATTTGTAAATTAAAAAACTCGTCTTGCATAAATGATATTTTACCCAATAGAAGCTCTGATCGTAGTAATATCAAATGTTTCTAAATGATAAATTACTTTGTCCAATATATTTTTCACATCTTCCTTTGAAAAAATTATTTCATGATGATCTGTTCCGATATGATCTGCAACCTAATTCAAGGCATGATAATAGAATAATTCAAATAGTACAATATAAAAACATGCTCCTCCAACCTGTCTAGCTGCAACAATATCTGGGCTATCGCCCATTCCAATAGCAAAACTTTGTATTTTATATGGTAGATTTGCTTCCTTCGCATGTTTTACTAGCAAAGCTGCAATCAGACTTGAATCTAAACCACCCGATAGTAGACATCCTATTCTTCTATCAGCCATTAGCCTTTTTTTCACAGCATTTGAAAGGAGTGTTCTTATATTTTCATGTACATCTGTTTTATTCAACTCTAAAAGGAAAATAATATATTATTGCATTTTTATTCTCACATCACTGATGGTAGTATTCTTAAGTCATATGAACAAACCATTCCAAGGAGTATATACTTGAAAGCTCGGTTTGTCTCCTGGTTTATAATAATTTACTGTTGATAATAATTTCATGCGACCATTATGTAAGATTTCATATTCTTCATAATAACCTGGCGAGAATGGTTTCAATGTCCATTTTGATTTTATTCGTTTTGATAATTCTATAAGACCCTGTATATATAATATATTATAATTACAATAAATATATTGTATATACCCTGTGTATATATATAATATTACCATATATTCCAATATAGTAATATCTTAGGTATCCCCGAAAAAAATTACTGCTACTTCGTTACCTTGCTTTCTGAGCAAACCGCAAGTTGTCCATCATCAGAAAATAATTTAAATAATGGTCTGACACCGTAAGGATCTCTGCCAATAAGAATTCTTCTCTTCTTAATATCCATTAAGCAAAATCCAAATACGCCATCCAACATTTTGGCAACATTTTCAGCGCCACAATTTTCATACAAATGTAATATCACTTCTACATCACACTGTGTGACATATTTAAATCCATATTCTTGACCGATCTAGAAAATCAAATATATGTTATTTAATTATTTTTGAGAACAAAGGAAGAATAATTTAGGAGATCAAATTTACTTGTTTATGATTATATATTTCACCATTGCACAATAAGAAAAGGTGAGGATACTTATAAAGTCTCATTGGTTGCATTCCATGAAGATCATCGACAATTGCCAGTCTGTGAAATCCAAGATATCCGTTCTACGAATATAAAATATGTTTATAACTTAAGTAATCATTACGCTAGTACTTCGATGTTAAGAAGTTTTAATTATACCTTGACCGCATGGTCATATTCAAGCTTGAAAGCTTCGGGACCACGATGTTCTATTTTTCCAAAATTCTCACAAATGCAGGTCAAAGGTGCATTTAATCCAAACAAGGCCCAAATACCGCACATTTTATTTTGTCACTGTAACAGATTATTGATGTAAATTATTAGTGTAATATAAATTTCAAACAAGAAACTTCTATGTACAATATTGCAGTGGTTGCATCATCAGAAAAATAAATATGGAGAATTACTGATCTATAAATATTTAAAATAATAAAAGATACCTGAATTCGATTTTATTTTAAAGACTTTATATAATCTTGAATGACCATATAACACCTTCGAAAATAAAATATGAACAATATCCGAGAACGAACAATTCCGCGATTGTAATGATACACAACACGTTGACTCCACGTTTATACCTCGTGCCATGTGTCGCGACTGCGCATTTTTGACCGAATGTAAACAAAAAATGATGTGTGGAAATAAAAAATAGACGTGGCTGAATTTTTCATTTTATATTTTGTAATAATTTTCGAAGCCTGAAATCGAAGAGATGGAAATAAATAATTTCGTTACGTTAACTTTTGCACAACAATACCATGTTCTAATTCGTTCCCCTTATATATGTATATAAATTATAATTAAATTATTCCGGGATGAAAAATTTGTTTATATTTTAAACGAACAATATGACGCATTTCCAGTTATAATGTTATGTTTATTGAAATTTGCATATTATACATACAATTTATGTCTATTTTGTCAAACTTTCTTGAATAAAATATATTTGATTATGTAGTATGTATAAGTACGTTGTTATCGTACTTATTATGTCTTCTTTCATTACACAATGTATAACTGACGAATTTCGTGATAAATATATCGGTTTTGATACTGAAAAGGTATAATTAATGAACTATAAAAATTTATTTCTACAGAAAATAATTAATCTTATTCATGCGATACAGACCACTTTAATACAAGTTAGTTACTTATCATGTTACAGCGATAATACAAACATTAATTTTAATTCCAAAGTGCAATCAATATTACACACTCCTAATAAATTTATTACATTTATTCGTCTCTAATTTAATTATCTTAAATTGCGTTTACAATTTTTATCCATTAAATACCAATCTATGCTTTTTAACTTAGTCATTGAAATTACGGAAATACACAGTTAACTTTGGATAATTTTACACGTACATACGTTTCATATATTTAATACATGTGTACAAGTATTAACATTGTTCAGAAAAGTCATTACACTTTCTACTACAATATGTCTATGTCATTCGGTGAGCCATTAGAAGCACCGGACACGTAGAAAGATCATCCACTAAACAAACTACGTGCATCGTGTGATCACGTACACTAAAAAGCACGCTCGAAGCAAATACAAAACCTTTTGTTTCGTCGCCGGCTGGCCGATTGTTCGGGCAACGATATCTCGCAGCACACTTTACTTACTACATAATAAAAAAAGAAGACGAGGAACGGTTGTGCAACGATTGGGCGGTTAGTGGTGCCCTCCTACGATAGAACATCGAATTCGCTAAATACAAGGTGGTAATCGTACCGTTCACAGGAGGGGGCGCACGATTGTGTCGTTTCTCTTTTCCGGTTTTGTATTCGTTTTCAGTTTTAATTCGTACACCGCGGTTCGGACGCGACCTGGTTTTTCGGTAGTGGCTGCATCGCGAACGGCGAGGGCCCGACGTTGGAAAGTGACACCGATGCGCCAGCGAAGCGAAGGAACGGAGTCGGTACGCGAGTCGGACACCCAGGCAGGCCGTTAGTTCGATCAGCTGGTCGTTTGTGGAATCGCCTTGAATGTCGGCGTACAAGCGCGCGGGGCAGTTGGCTCTCGCCAGGGCTCCAGGAAGGATGCGCGATCGGGGGTGTGCGCTTCTCGAGACTGCCACCGGTTTTCTGCGTGCCGGCCGCTTTACGGCCTATAACGCGGCACCATAGCCACGGCCATTCAATAAAAAGAAAAATACCTTCGTGGTTTATTCATCCGTCCGGTGTGAAGAGAGTGATCGACGTTACACACATGCCAGCAGGGAATAAGGCTAATGGTGAAAAGAGCTTGTCGCGGCCAGTGATTTTCTACGGCGAAGCCCACCACCACGGTATATACAATCGAGAACCGCTAACGTTCGCCGCATCGTTGTGTACTTAAAGCACGTCAGGTTCAAACTTTGCCAGGCCGAAAGCTACGATTTTCAAGGTTAGAAGCGACGACACGAAGCAGCGGATCCACGACGGTGGTGCACTCGGCATTTTTACGAGACGCGCTTTAGGTTAAGTGCTGTCCGTGGATCTCCCGGCACCGAATGACAAATCGGAAGTAACAGAGAAGTTGTGTCGCGACGATTTACTTGACGACGATGCCTCTTCTCGCGGATGTCACGGCAGTGCGTGCACACGCTGATCTCATCGGATAGATATCGAAAGAAACGTTTCCTATTTATCGCCGCGAAATAAAAAAAGAAAAAAAAGGAGACCGAGATCTCTCTCTCTCTCTCTCTCTCTCTCCTCGCCATTGCAAGAGGTCAAATTCGATGTATGTTTGTGTGTTCTTTAGTGTACCGTAAAGTTTCCGCAGAAAAAAAAATACACACACACACAGAGACAGCAGACAGACAGACACACACACACGCACGCACGCACGCAAACACACACACACAGGGAGAAGCCGGTCGATACATCGAAAGGTTTGGAAAAAGGAAACTGAGGAGACTCATCGACGCCGCTCTGGGATTACCTTCCGCGTTTGTGTTACCGACTGACACACATATACGTGTGCATGTACACACGTTGACGACCGAGAATGCGTTTTCGGCAGTGCGAGCCCCGATAAATTAAACGTTCCAAATATAGAGGAGCGGAACGGTGTACAATCGGTAATTTGGCTGTGACGATACCGAGACACGTCGGATTCTGTGATCGTGTGGAAACAACCCGCGGTTTGCTCTGCTCGAAGTACACACGACCGTGCGTGTCGCTGATACAAGAGAGACCGGAAGCAAATGTATGCAACTCGGCGACAAAAATCTGCAGCCTGACGCGTCCGCGGCGAATCGTTGGGCCCGTTATGACGTCACTTAATGGCTCGCATGATTTTCGTACTTAATGCTAAACCTAACCTCAACGCAACCAATGCATAGGAATTATTAGTAGAAAAATCGTGGGAACGTTGTTGCAACTACACCGGGCTTCGATCGACGAGAACGAAGAGGACGAGCGAAGTGCGATCAGTTCTTAAAACAACGATTGTGTTTTACAAGTAACCGAGGCGTATTCGTACTTAAACTAAAAAAGAAAATTTTCGGAAGAGAAACAAACACTGGTGCCGGCATTACCTGTTTATTGACGGTGTAAACCAGTTCGCGGTGGTGAATTATTTCATAGTGAGCACGTCGAGAGTATTATGGGGAAACGCTTGTAGATATTAATTATTTATTGCTAACCGGGACAACGGTCGGGAAACAGAAATTAATCGTGACGAGAAGCCAGCTCGATTATTACGCAAATTAACGTCACACGTTCCTAGATAATTTTCGCACGGTGCAGCGCATTGTTTCAAGGTGAGTTTATTTTTATTTACCGTATTTATTTCGTTGAACACGCGCCACGTGTTCCCACTAGCTTTTATGATTCGTGCCGCTCCTAGCCGAACAACATATGGTTCCGCTGGCAAGAATTATCGAAGCGTTAGTTAGTGCTCTCTCATTCTCTCGCGATCAATTTCTGCCAATTATCTGTACATACGCGGAGATAAAACACCTCGTACAGCATACAGTGCCGCGTTTTTGCTCTGTGTAGGCTTTCCGGATAAGCGGGGAGAAGTTTTAATTCATTGTTCGAGATTCGTAGGAGTATGGCTACGCGATGCACATGGTGCCGATGCATAAAGGGTGGGACTTGGCGAGGTGGCAAGTCCGGCGATAGGGTCTGTTAATTAAAGAACAAGTAAATTTTATATTGGGTTGGCAACTAAGTAATTGCCGATTTGTTCGATGAATTAAAAAATTTTTTTTTCCTTGGAACGAAGTTTAATCTGTAATGTATTTTCCATTTTGTTCGATGACCTTTTGCCATCTCTCCGACAAGTTTAATTATTTCTACATGCTATAGCGTGACTATAGAATTATTTAAAAGCATTAGCCGCCATTTTTCTTTGAAATTGTGTCTTGAATTGCGAACAAGATGTAAGAGACATGAAAAGTTACGATTTTGTAGTTGCAAGAATTTATACGAAATTGACATTCGTATTTTTATTTTATTTCCACGATCGTACGTATATTTTTTGAAATTTATCGATTCCACGTTTTTCCGTCCACGTTGTTCAGTAAACTCGAAGTACTTATCGTCACGCGCGGTAAGGGCGTCTAAGTTATACCCATAATGGGCGCCCATTTTGGCGACGATATACATATATGTATATACTTCTGTTTAGTTATCAAGATAGCTAACCTACATTATGTTCCTTTGCAACAGCTTACATATAATATATACATATGTACGTACGTGGAGCGCACTTCTTATGTCCCTCGGCTTTAGCTTTAAATAGAAGGGAGTAACGAATACAAATAAGTATAGATACAAGTACGTATATTTAAAGTTTTACTATACAGAGTGTTCGTCTAACATTGTCGGTTTTACAATTTTTCTTGCTACATATAAATGCAGTTCTGAAAAATCTTGCACAATTTTATAGAGTCCGTACGAACAATTATTTTATTCTGTCGCAATAGGTTAATTAGATTATTATATATAACAATGGCAAACTAAATGATCAAAAGCTTTACTAAATTATTACTATAAATTTACTAGATTTACTAAATAACTTTANTTCCATTTTGTTCGATGACCTTTTGCCATCTCTCCGACAAGTTTAATTATTTCTACATGCTATAGCGTGACTATAGAATTATTTAAAAGCATTAGCCGCCATTTTTCTTTGAAATTGTGTCTTGAATTGCGAACAAGATGTAAGAGACATGAAAAGTTACGATTTTGTAGTTGCAAGAATTTATACGAAATTGACATTCGTATTTTTATTTTATTTCCACGATCGTACGTATATTTTTTGAAATTTATCGATTCCACGTTTTTCCGTCCACGTTGTTCAGTAAACTCGAAGTACTTATCGTCACGCGCGGTAAGGGCGTCTAAGTTATACCCATAATGGGCGCCCATTTTGGCGACGATATACATATATGTATATACTTCTGTTTAGTTATCAAGATAGCTAACCTACATTATGTTCCTTTGCAACAGCTTACATATAATATATACATATGTACGTACGTGGAGCGCACTTCTTATGTCCCTCGGCTTTAGCTTTAAATAGAAGGGAGTAACGAATACAAATAAGTATAGATACAAGTACGTATATTTAAAGTTTTACTATACAGAGTGTTCGTCTAACATTGTCGGTTTTACAATTTTTCTTGCTACATATAAATGCAGTTCTGAAAAATCTTGCACAATTTTATAGAGTCCGTACGAACAATTATTTTATTCTGTCGCAATAGGTTAATTAGATTATTATATATAACAATGGCAAACTAAATGATCAAAAGCTTTACTAAATTATTACTATAAATTTACTAGATTTACTAAATAACTTTACTAAATAGCTTTACTCAATTTACTAAATATATTTTATTATATATAACATTATTATAACAATAATAATAATAATTATATATGACAATATTATATATAATAATATGTATACATATTATTTTTCTTTTCAACGGAATACATACCATGTTTTTAGTTATCTTTACGCAACAAATGAACGAAACGTTTAATTTTTTTCTTTTTGCGTAGCAAGCTTTTTAGCGCCGTTATTACACGCATAGCAGCAATTGGTCTTTCCGCATTTATCCGGTTGCAAACCGATGGAGAATTACAAAATGCGCGACCATTTGGCATTAATTATATTAATTCTTCGAGATCGATCTTTACTTTGTCGCTTTTTACGAGTGCACGCTCAATTATGTGTAAATGTTTTCGTAATCACTTAGCGGTGCGCATTAGTATGGCTGTCGAACGCCGCCGTTAGACTATTAATTACTCGCGTTAATTATTGTTACACATGCGGCTAAATCGAAGCCTCGTTCGATGAACTCTATATGCGCGACCAAGCGTTGCGTATTGCGTCGCGTTAAAAGCTTTTTCTTTTGTTTTACCTTTTTTTTTCCTGTTCGGCATCGTTGCGGAAATAAAGGTTCTATTAACACTCTCGGTTTTATTGAGATATTGCTCGAATTTGCGGTGCATTTCAGAGAGAACTGAAATGGTACAGCGAAAACTGTGTAATACAAATATTGTTATTTTAAAGGGATGGATATTATAAATAGACTGCGGATTTTTATGCAAAATAAAAACTTCTTCAATCTTTTTAAATATTTTCACTGCGTCAAATGGCAGCTAGTCATTTTTATTATAAATGCATAAAATCCGCGGTCTATTTATAACTGCTGCTTCATTTCTTAATTTATAATAATAATAATTTAGTAAAGTTATTTAGTAAATTTAGTACAGTTATTTAGTAAAGTTATATAGTAAATTTAGTAAAGTTATTTAGTAAATTTAATAAAGTTATTTAGTAAATTTAATAAAGTTATTTAGTAAATTTAGTAAAGTTATTTAGTAAATTTAGTGAAGATATTTAGTAAATTTAGTAAAATTATATTTAGTAAATTTAGTAAAGTTATACTTAGTAAAGTTATTTAATAAAGTTATTTAGTAAATTTAGTAAAGTTATTTAGTAAAGTTATTCAGTAAATTTAGTAAATTTATAGTAATAATTTAGTAAAGCTTTCGATCATTTAGTTTGCCATTGTTTCAACATTCGCGTCGCTTTTACACAGTTTCAACGTGCATAAAGTGGAATATGTGAATCACGAAGTAAGATAAATTATTGAAATAACCGGTGAATCCACTTCCATCAGAGATCGAATATGACTCTGTTCCCAATGCAAACACTTCGACGCCGGTTAGTAACCGCTACTTGCGTCACCGTTCTATTTTCCAAATATTTGTGGTGTCATCGAAGGGGGGTGGGGATGTACGCGTATAATGCGTAAGCATCTTCGCATACATTAAACGTTCGGATCGAATGCACGGATAGGAAAACCTTCGAATATGTATATTGCTTTCTCACTTGGAGAATCGTTCTTCTAGTACGGTATCTATGCATTTAGAACAAAAACGAGTAGGTCAAACGCAGAACAATAAAATCACTTAGCATCGTATGATCTATAGCAAGACTCGAATAATCGTATCTCCTCTCCCTAAATTGTCAATTTTTCTGCACAATTTGAGCGTCAGTTGGGGAGACATTACTGTACATATTGAGCGACAATTGGAGAGGATTCACTGCAATAGATGAATCTAAGAAATTATTGAAAGATAATATTTCTGCATCATAATCTGTCGAAACGAGATAATTATAATCTTTTGAATCTACTGCACAATTTATTCACGAATTTGTCAACTTACCAAATTAGCAATTATTACTATTGTACATCGGTTCTTAATTCAGTTTTTCGACGCGAGATTAACTTTTGTTTGGTCACTCGGGATTTTCGTTTGCTGCCTTAATCCCGATATCGTTAGCTTTTTTTTTACCATGGATTCACCGTCGAACGAATCGCGCTTGCTTCGAATTCAGCGTTGCTTACATTCAATCTCGGAATCATTCGCATCGGCTCTAGTCCTTTCTGGGTTAATCGGTATCGATTTCTTTCACGCTCCGATCAGACCATACCGGCGTGCTGTAATTTGCTCTTTTTCTCTATAATTCGCTCTTTTTACGTCTCGTTTTTCCAATCGCGCTACTTTTGTTCCTTCGGTTACGGAATTCGGTTCCCACCGTTTGAATTCTGTCTAATCGTTGCCAGAGAGAATCGAGCGTTTCGTAGTTTTCCAGGTGTTTTCCTCCCTTCTCGAAACGCGCAGACGAAGCGAGACAGCTGTTCTACTTTTAGTGTTTGATCACCGAGCAGCCGTCACGATAATTGACACCGTGTCAACTATAAGTTTTTTCGCATCTCGACACGATTTCTATTTTTCTATATTTACCGCCGTTCCTCATCCTGTTCGTATATTTCCGTGGTTTTGCTCTCCATCTTGCTCGGTATCCAAACAAGCCGTTTAACCCTCGCACGGCGGACCGTTTATGACCGCGAGGGGCGGACGCGGTTTCCATGCAGACCCAAGTCTGGATTCCATTGCTTAGGCATTTGAATATGTAGGGTTTTATTGGATATTTGCTTTATATCGTTTGTAAATTATAATAATTTACAAATAAAAAAAATATAATTATATTATATATATATATATTTTTCAAATAATAAAAATATAATTATTTATTATGCTATTATTGGAGGTAATGTATAAAATACTATTTTTTATTGCACACGCATATGTGTACACAACTAGCAGTCTTCGCATTTCTACGAAAGACATTTTTTAAATATTTGTTATAGGCTCGGATAAAAAAGTTAAAAAACGAGAGCTTTTTATTTTCTTTTGTCATTCCAAGTAATAGCAAAATTAAAGAAAAGGT